AGTTTAAAGTACTTTTTTCATTGTAAAATTATACATAAACTCACCCAATTTTTGTGCAAGTATCATTGTCGGTAGTTTTAAAATTCATCCATTTAAAGCTTTGGTAACAAAACTCACGAAAGCTGTTAGTCCCCATGATTACAATGCATGAAGTCCCCATTCTATAGTGATACACATTGGAACGAATGCATTTGTCTAGCAGTTACTGCTCGGGTTTGTGTGCACTGTATAGCAAAACCTCCACTAATGAATCGGATCCACCTTGATCCCTTTGCAGTTGGATGATAAAGACCCATGGCCCATTACAATAGTTATTTTCATCTTCAAAGACTCCTGGCTAGTTGTAAAATGTTGAGCTTTCTAATTTAACAGCACCAGCTTAAAATTTCTCCATCTTTTTGTAAAGTACAGGCACAGAATACACTGAACAATTATATAGGATACAATGCTCATATGCTTAAGGTCAGCCCAACCAATGTGTTGGTAAAAACAGAGAATTAGAAGGCAGATCCCTGAGTGATGAATCAAAACCATGTACCTCAGCGACACGACTTTCATATTATACCTGATATAAAATTTAGTTTTACTTTCTGAAACATAAATGATTTTAGGTCTAAGGACTTTTATTCAAAGATGCATTCATCCTAGTGCCCCACATACTAGTTGGGAGCTTTTGATTCTACTCAAATCCTCTGTACTTTTTTTCCTCTCGGTAGTAAAAGCATCAACAAGTGAGCTGAAAATGAGCATGCCCCTCCCCTGCCCAACACAGCCAGCCTGTTTGCCATGATGCCAGCCATAGCATTTATTAAGCACTTGCTGTATGATGAGTTTTATCTTATTGCGCCCCCACTGGAGCCATGGCAGGTGTTCTTAACATCCCAACTTACAGGCAGAAAATACTCCACAGTGAATTTCCCCAGTATCTCAGCTTCAGTGAGGTAGAAATGGGATGTGGATCATCTCTGACTGCACTGTCTAAATGTCTCGCTGCCTACCTCTAAAAAGCCTTTCTTTCATCCTTAAAGTTGTATCGATGCTTTTGAGTTATTAAAAATTTATAGCATATAGTTCATGATTTATCTTATCACTATCCTAAATTATAATGATAACCATCATTTATTGAACAACTACTGTGTGCACTGTGATATTACCACATAGCACCACATCCAGCCTAAGCTTCCACAAAACTGTATGGCATAGACGTTGTGATTACTAGTTTAGAAACAAGGAAATTAAGGTCCAAGGAAGCAGATGAACCTGCAGCTAGTCCACAGTCATTCAGCAATCCTCTCCATCCTCCGGGATGCTGGAATCTGTGGACTGTGGATGTTTTTAGCCCCTCTTCGGAAGCAAGCCCAACACCTCTTTAGTCTTCACTGGATGCTTGTTTCGTGTTGTTAGGTCACACCCATTGGAAAGCAACGTTCAGCCTTTCCACGTGAAGGAAGAAGGGTGGAAGCAGGGCCTCAGAGCCATTCTCAAGGCAACCAAAGAAATAAAGGAAAGGCAGCATTTCTTGGACTTCCTGTTCTTTAGAAATTCTGCGAGGTGCCCAGCTCAGCTACTGCTATTAATCCAATGTGGGTGATAGCAAAGTCCTCTCATACTTCAAGGATATAAGTCCCACTAGTCGAAGCTTATCAGAGAGGGGTCATTGGATCTGGTCCCCTGTGCTATGCAGGTTCATCTACAAAATCCTAGACATATACTGCCCTAGACGCCCTTCACCCTCCCTGGAGGACATTTCCATCTACTGGTCGGTTCAAGTATTTAGAGAATTCTGCCTTGTGCTGAGCCAAAATATGCCTTCCCTGTAGCCCTCTTACCTCCTCCTGGAACCCCACCAAATCTAAACTACTCATCCCTATGCCTCCCCTCATCCTTGAAGCAGAAGGGGCTGCTGTCGGCTTCATCAAGATGGCTGTGTCCCTTGGGCCTGTTGAGCTTGCCATCCCCAGCCTCCCACATGGACTCTCATATTCATCAGTAGTTTTTGAAATATGAGAAATCAAATTTCTTTTGCTTCCAAATTGATGTTTGAAAATGTACCTTTTCAACACCTTTACATTTCTCTACCCTTTCCCATGTTTAAATGTCCAATTAAATGTGTTATGCCACCCCCTTCACAAAAACATCAAGCATGGTGTTAAAAGATCAGCGTCGGCACATTATGATTTTGAAATTTATTTGAGCAGACAAGAACTCACACATTGGTCAGCACCACTCTGCAACTGATTAGGCTCAACTGCAGAGAGGAGGAGGAGGAAACCTTCATCACATGTATATGAAAGCTGCACTAAGACAGTCCATGGCATTGGCCAAAGTGGAAGTGCCAGTTCGAAGTTAGCTTGGCAGTTTCTGATCACTGGACTTAAGTCCTCTTTTACCGTTTACAATGAGTTGGGGCTTTGGTTTGCTTATTAGGTAAGAACACAAGATGCTAGAGCCAGCTCAGATTAGTCATTGTTTTTCACAAGGGTATAGTAGAAGGAATACTGAGCTTAAGGCTGGAAACTTGACTGGCCCCAGCTCTGCCTCTGACTCACCAGGCAACCTCAGATGAACTGTTTCTCTTTGCAGGCCTTGGCTTCCTCGTCTGCAAGATGGGTTCCCTAATGCCTAGTACCTAGTCTACTGTGTCATGCATGCCTAAGGAGCTCCTGCAAGAGAAAGTGCTTTCCAAACCATTAGGGACTCAGCCAATGGGCATCCTACTTGCCCTCAGCAAGTAGGGCAGAGGGAATCCTTCCTTTTAAACCCTGTTTTTTTGTTTGTTTGTTTTGTTTTTGCTTTGTTTTTTGGTCTTTTTGAGAAAGGGTCTCCCTGTAGCCCGAGCTGTCCTGGAACTCACTATGTAGACCAGGCTGGCCTTGAACTCACAGAGATCCGCCTACCTCTGCCTCCCAAGTGCTGGGACTACAGGCGTGCGCCACCACGCCTGGCTTAAACCCTGCTTTTTAAGGACTGTTGGTGCTGAATTCAACTGACAAGAGTCAAGGGACAGCACATTGCACTGCACACAACCTAAGAACAAGATATTTCTTACACTCCTTATGTGCCCGGGCACCTAGCTCAGTGTCTGGCTCTGGGAATGGTGATGTTAAATGTTTTGAACGGTTGCAAGAAGGATGAGGCCGTGGTGTGGTTTCAAAGCTCCACTCATGTCCAAGCACAAGTCCTTACACCTAACTCCAGTTTGGCAGTGTCCTGATGGTGATCCTGCCAGCCTGCTCTGATTTTAACTGGGTAAAATAGGATCCTCCCTCCACCACCTGTCCATATAATGAGAAGTAACATTTAAGACCATGGGCTTTTGCTTTCTTAAGGGTCAGGATCCTGATAACCCAGGCTGGCCTAGAACTCATGGTCCTCCCTCTACCTCCTAATTACTGAGATTTCAGTTCTGTGCCTAGCCCAGTTAGATCATAGACCTTTATATGTGCCTTCATAGAACAAGGTCCTGAGAAAGAAATTTTTAGGACTAGGGAGATACCTCAGTCAGTAAAGTGCTTCCCACACAAACATGAGGACCTTAGTTCAGATCCCCAGCACCCAAATCAAAAGCCAGGCATGGAAATGCAGACCTGTAATCCCAGCAAGATGGAAACAGGTGGATCCCTAGAGCTCACTGGTGAGCCAGCCTAGCCAAATCAGTGAGCTCCAGGCTCTGAAGGAGATAGCGTCTCAAAAACAGGGTGGGATACAGCTGAGGAAGACATTAGACGTTGATCCCTGGCTACCATACACATTCACATACACATGAACAGGTGCATACCCACATACTCCTCTCACACATATACACAGCTCTTATGCAGCCTCTGTCAGTAGCAGATCTGTTTCTCATGCTCAGTGCCCTCTCGAAGCCAACCTTAGACTTTGTCATTGGTCCTTAATGGGCTGAGCTAGTGAAGAGAGGAATGTTGTGCCACCACCCCCCCCAGCCTTACCACATTCTTGCTGGCTCAAAAGTCAAGGCACAGACTTTCTGAAGAATACAAGACCCGCTCCCAGACACCAAAGCACTTAACAGCACTGGGCATGCAGAGGCCCTCAGCATTCTGGCAAGCATTTTTAACTTCATGCCATTTATTGGAAACTATGCTAATAGTTTAGGCAGTCAGTGTTCAGTTCATTCAAGCCATCAATCCATGTCTGACCAAGCTTAGACTTCCCACCACAACCTCAACTGCAAATCAGCTGGTTTCCTGTGTTCTCTGGGTTATGTGTCCCACATTTGTAAATAATGTAAATGATTCAAACGTTATTTGAGTGCATATTTGTTTGGAAGCCTTTTTAGAACAGAATGAATAAAGATTTTCTAATCTGACTTGGATCCACAGTGCTCTACATTTGGCACAGCTCTGGTCTGTGCAGTTTAGAAGTCTGATAATTAAGTTTTGAAGGCCATCCAGGTTTCCCTGATCCTAATGCACATAACTCATTTAGTCCTTTGACCCTGTTCCTTTCTTTTCCCTCCAGGCCATTCTCTGCACCATTTTGTTTTGGGGTCTTTACCCTGCACTGTGGAGGTTGTGTGGCTCTATCCTGCACTGTGGAGCTGGCCCTGGTTGTGTGGCTCTATCCTGCGCTGCGGAGCTGGCCCTGGTTGTGTGGCTCTATCCTACACTGTGGAGCTGGCCCTGGTTGTGTGGCTCTATCCTGCGCTGTGGAGCTGGCCCTGGTTGTGTGGCTCTATCCTGCGCTGCGGAGCTGGCCCTGGTTGTGTGGCTCTATCCTGCACTGTAGAGCTGGCCCTGGTTGTGTGGCTCTATCCTGCGTTGTGGAGCTGGCCCTGGCATTCCTTCTCAGTCGTGCACTGCCTCTGTGGAGTCTAACCATTTCTGCCCCGTTCCTCCTTTCCAGCCTAACATTCACCTGTATAGAGAAAATCTCCAGGGAGAGATGGTGATCCTTGCCTTGTCACCCTTCTCGGTGGCACTTTAGGAATTCTGGGCAAGGCCAACAGCTAATGTGTCTGTGGTTCCCCTTCCCCACAGGAGAAGAGGACCTGAGTGTGGAAGAAGATGAAGAAGTGCTGACTCTGTTGTATGACCCATGTCTCAACTGCTACTTTGACCCTCAGACTGGAAAATACTATGAGCTGGTCTAGTTCCTGCCATCGTGGTGGAGTGGCCACCCCCATGGGAGCCACTGGAAGTCCACTGAGGAGACACCATGACGCTGCGTTGGGCAGGCCCAGGGAACCAAGGGAGCAAAGAGAAGGAAGCACTGTGTAGATAACGTCCAGCATCGAGAGCACCTGCCTTCTTTCTGTAGATGTGTGTGGCTTTGAAAATTGTGAAGGAATGAATGGAAACCAGATTCCAGGACTTTGAGTCAGTTCTTATCTGTGCATTCTTATCCCACAAATCTCATTTCATATATTTAATGTAAGCAAATTAAGAATTACTCATTCAAATTTCGTGCAGTGTTAATCTGTAAATGATGGCTTGATACAGTACAGAAAATGTATTCTTGTCTAAACGATGTCTGGAACCTTTTATGTTATGGCTTGTTTGTATTAAAAATAAAGTATGGTGGTCAAAAGAGCACTTCTTTTTTTCACCCCAGTGTCTACCAGACTATTCCTAGACGATTTTCCATCCCTTTAGACTCTTAGGAAAGGAAACATGGAGCAGTCAGGTTTTAGGGTCACATTTGGGGCTCAGCCTGCACTCTTTCCGTTTCACTATAGTTCATCCAGAGTTTGCCAAAGATCACACCGTTAATCACTTAAGCTGCTTAGCATTCTACTTTGCTTTTTCCCTTTTTAATCTCTTGCCAATTATCTTTGAATTCTAATAATCTAGATCCATGGATGCAGATTAACAATAAGTCGCCATCTGAACACCCACCACACCTCCCTGCTCCCGTGACTTGGGCCTGGAGAAACCCAGGAGGCTTTCTCTGGTCTTTAATGTTATGTCAGAGCAACTCTGCTCACATCCCAAAGCAAAACTTGTGCACTCCCTCCCTGCATTCAGGTAGACAGCCTTGAATTGTGTGCCAAGTGCATTCATATGGAGCTCGAGGAAGTACTTTTCATATACCAAGCATGTTTTGTTATTTAATAAAGATTTTTAATAAAGAAGAGTGCTGTTGGAAATGAAATATTATTGGTGTATGGTTGAATTTAATGGCAGTGCTCTGATTTCGTTTAATGTTGCTTGATAGAGGAAGTAAGAACTGTTTTCCACAGGCAGATTTAGGTTCCTGTCTAAAGGATCATACATTATTTAAAGCCATGTTTGTATTTGATAAGCTTTTAACACTATTTTTCTCAAATTATACCTTCGTTATGAATTTCCCTCCAAGACCTCTTGCTTACAAATGAAAATGAATAAATGAGGCTTCACAATGCATACAAAATGGTAAGAGAGTTGCAGTGATGCTTTTCGGTTTGGAGGGGATTTTTTTAGACAGGGTTTCACTGTGTAGTCATAACTGGCCTGAAATTCACAGAGATCCGGTTGCTTATGCCTCCCAAGTGTTGGAATTAAAGGTGTGCACCACCACATCCCTCTACATTGGGGTTATCTTAATTGCAACCTTAAAAACAGAAATGGCAGTTGAAGGCCTTCTTCCTACTTTAAAGAATCTTAACGACCATCCAAAGAGCTAGCAAAGCCAATCAAAAGTTTGTCTTAGTTAAAACTTGCAGTTACATCAGTAACATCATGCACTCTATTATGTGGGTTCGGGGAGTAAGGATGCTTCCAGGCTTCCAAGCAGATTTAAACTAGGTCCGCAAGAACCACGGAGAACTCTGTTGGGGTTCTTTAGTGGTAAGTGTAGACAGCCTTCATCTCAAAATCCAGAGACTGCTGAACAGCCAGGCTCCAGGGCCCAGGAGTCAGGGCAGCTGCAGGGTCCCTGGAGCAGCAATTCATGATCACCAAAATGGCAGTGCCACCTTGTCTCACCTCAGATCTCTGCTTAAGGAGCAAGAAGCTGGTGCGGCAGGAGAACTGGACAGAGAGTAAGGTCCAAAAACTCTTACACAATTAACATATGAGAAAAAGTTGTCCAAAAGGAAAACTAGGAATGGAACAACTCCCAGTCCAGACCCACTCAGGTCAGCTGACACTACTGAGATGCAGAGGCACTCCAGGATGTTAGAAGTAACCTGTATGGCTCATTATAATACAAAAATACACACCCCTGTGTGGAGATATAATATGCCAATGAGATATGTATTGCAGGAAGTTGAATACTTCAGGAAGTTAAGCAACTCCGTGGCTCAGTCCTACCTAACAGGGAAGACATAAGACAAACAGCCTGTACTATGTGCCAAAGGAGCCAAAAGGGCTAGCCTAGTTCTTTGTGTGGCAGGCCCTTGATCTGCTGGGTTCTCTCTCTGTCTGCCTGCTCCCTCCCTTGGAAGTTTAGATTTTCTTAACAAACTGTCCCTGCTTCTGTTTACAACTGCTAAATTTGTTATTCAGAGACAGAAGAACCTGGAACACCCACCCTCCAAAGTTGTCCTCTGACCTGTTATTAACCAATATCACTGGTAAGTCTGACTTGCCCTTAATCCCCAGGACCTACAGGATGAGGGTAAGAGAGGCCATAAAGGAGAAGGGGAGTTGACAATGAACACAGGGGTGCTAGCAGGCAAACACCATCAATGGCTATCCCAGAAGTCTAGGTGGGTCCTTGCTGCCACTCCTCTGACCCATCTTGCTCTCTGGAGTTCCCCCGTCCTCAACTCTGGCTCAGTCCTCAGGTCAGAACACTTAAGATATTCTACAGATGTGCTACAGAAATAGTAGCTTTCAATTTTAATTCAGAAATCCACACTGGGATGTCAATTGGCCAAGTTTGAGTCAGTGACCACCAGGACCCTCTTCTGTGGATGAGGCAGGTTGGAAGGTAAGAAGCTTTCTGTGAGTCCAGATGCCACTCCACAGGTGGCTACTACAAGGTCTTGTTAGCCAGGTTATGCATTTGGTTTGTCTTTTGAAAGGGGGAGCAGTTGGGCTGCAGTAGGCTACAGAAGACTTGAAAGGTAGAAGCAGATGTGTCTTATACACCAGTCTTAAGTCAAAATGATACATTCAGCTTACTTGAAAATTCGTGGGCTGAGTATACTTGCTCACTGATGTCAAGTTTTGTTGCCTGTTGGACTCTCCTGGAAACTGAAACCAAGGTTCTACACCCACAAAGTCTGATTTGACTGGTCCTATGTGCAACCTGGATATTGAAAAATGTTAAAACAACTCTGTGCAGTCAAGGTTGAGACCCACAAAAGACAGCATCCGACCTGATCAGATAGCATTTTTCCTAATGGTATGTTGGCCTATGGGGAGGAATCCATGTTATCAGCTTGCTTTCAAGGCCTTAATTTCTATTTCTAATCAAATGTGCACCATGTACATCTAGAGTTGCCTGCTGCGAATGGGCACTGAAAGAGCAGATCGGCTCGACACAGAACTACATCTGAGGATAAGTCGGCATTGGTCTGGAGACTGATTTAGTTTCTTGTTTCATGTTATCAGGATGCAACTTACAATGATTTTTAGTCATCAGTCTCTAATCTCTTATTGAATCATGGAACCCAATTAATAGAATTATGAAAAGGCAACTGTCAGCAACACATGGTCCCAGGTCAATGATTTAGTTTCCAATAAATGGTTCATATTCTCCCTCCTCCTCCTCTTCCTCCCCCTCATTAATTTTTCTTTTTAATTTTATTTATTATTGTTATTTTATGTGTATTAGCACATTGCTTACATGTAGGTAGGTGCACCCATGTCCTGTACTGCCTGCAGAGGTCAGAAAAGGCTGTCGGATTCCTTGGAACTGGAGTTACGGACAGCTGTTAGCTACCATGTAGATGCTGAGAATCGAACCCGGGTCCCCTGCAAGAGCAGTCAGCACTCTTAACCACCAAGCCATCATCTTATCCCTCCTCAATTTATTTTCTATGGAAAGAAAAGACTGACCTTTACACACAGACTGTGCCAAAATACTTTGCCAAATAGTATCTCTCCATTTTTTTAGGTTGGCTCCATTTAAATCAGTTTCAACCACATTTGGGGCTTGGGTTTGTTTTGTTTTGTTTTGTTTTGTTTTGCTTTGTTTTTGAAGTACAAACTATTTAATAATCAAAAAAACATTGTAGTCACAGAGTGTGGAACTCAACAGTTAATTAAAAGAACTCATTTTAAAATTGCCCTTTGGCTTTAATTAAAGATCTAACTGCTGGAAGTTTCTGGAATGTTCTGTTTTAAAAACTGCAATGATGGAAAACACAGTATCAAGCTTGGTTTATTTGGGCTGTACCCTATGACTCTCAATCTTTAATATAATTGCTGGAATAAGGAAAATTCAGAATCATCTATGCACCTATGTTTGCACAGCAGGATTTCTATTTCACACATCATTCATTTTGCATTCCAAATAAGTTGGTCAGAGAACTCTTGTCAAGCGAATTTGATTTTCTCTGTTTCTCCCAGTAGACAAGCTGGGATGCAATCATCTAATTGGGCCTAGAAAGGATAATCAAAGACCACCTCCTTTAAACTCTCTGAGTTTACAGTTGAGAAAAAATGAAATTCACATTGGGAAGTTAATTTCCCCAAAGGTGCTGTGAGGCAAAGGGCAGAACAGAACCCACGATTCCTCACTTCCAAGCCAGATCTTTTCCACTCGGAGGAATTCAGATGAGAATTCCAAGGATTCCAGTTCTCACTCAGCATCTTCTGTTTGCTTGTGCAGAGTCTCCCCTCAGTTGTCAGCCTTTATAGCTCAAGGATCAACATTGTGCAATGTGCATTCCGAGAAATGGAACTCCACTTACGTATCGATAAACGGTTGGGAGAACTGAAGTGGGTGGTCATTTGTCTTCATAGAACTGTTCCCAGTTTCTCTCTCTCTCTCTCTCTCTCTCTCTCTCTAGCCAAAGGTCAACCTTGGATAATGTTTTTCAGGAACATCGTCTACTTTGTTTTATGAGACACAGTTTCTCCTTGGCCTGCACCTCACTAAGCAGGCTAGGCTGCCTTGCCAGTGAGCCCAAGGAGCCACCTGTCTCCACCTCCCCAGTGCTAGGGTAACAAGCATACACCACTAAGCCTGGCTTTCTTACATGAGTTCTGGGGTTCAAACTCAGAGTTTCACACTTGTGTAGCAAGCACTTTACAGGCAAAGCCATCTCCCAGACCCCTCCCAATGGCTTTTGTAGAAAGCCACGCCCTCTTTAAGGGAGGACTGAAGCATGCCGTACTTCCTACTGTATTCGCCCACAGAACCCTTTCTCTGCAGAATATCTTGGGATTTTACCCACTCTCAGAACCTCCTTTGAGAAATGCTTTAAATCACTTCTCCAGAGCCTGGCCTGGTGCCCACTAGGACTCACAAACACTCCAGTTTTTTTGTCGGTGTAGTTGGTGGATGTGGATGGTGTAAGTGGATGGGTGGGTGGTGGTGATGGTGGTGGTAGTATGACACCTAACTTTTCCTAGGAAGAGTTAAAAATATATCTATGTATCCCTGATAGGGAAGGCACTAACAGACCAAAGAAAGAATTCCATTTAAGTTCAGTTTGGTG